GGCTGCGGTGCCGGCGGCAAGGCGGCGCGGCCGGAGGGTGCCGCCGAGGCGGCCAAGCAGAGCGCGCTGCGCTCCAGCCCGCGGGGCATGTTTCGTAGGCTGCAGAGCTGCTACTGCTGTGACGAGAGGACAGAGGGCGAGGAGGCGGCCGAAAAGCCCCGGCGGCACGAATGTCACAAGGCCGAGTCCCCGCCGCAGGAGCCGGCGGGCGACACGCAGGAGCACTGGCTGCACGAGGCCTGTGCCGTATGGACCGCTGGGGTTTTCCTGGTGGCGGGGAAGCTCTACGGGCTGCAGGAGGCCGTCAAGGCGGCTGCCGACCTGGTAAGAGCTCGGCCGCCCGCCCGGCACCGCATCCTGAGGCGGCATCTCCTGCCGGCCTCCTTCAGCCAAAGCCATTCCCGCGGCTGCGTCTCCGGCCGGGATGAAAATTAATAGGGTCGGCCCCGACGAGTCGCCCTGGGAGAGCGGGCAGGGTGTTCGTGTGCCATGAACCCCGCTGGCTTCCTGCGAGATTTGTGCTGCCGCGTCTCTGATAGCACCTAACCCCCCCCACCTTTTAGGCCTAGAAGCATATTTATGTTGTTATGTTTTGGGAGGGTGGCAGGGCCCCCCCGGGACCGCGAGGATGCTGAGCCCAGTGGGTCACATCCCCCCCAGCCCAGCCATGCGTCGCATGGGGCGGCTCGGAGGGGGGCAGATGCAGCCTGGTGAAGGCGGGATGGGAGACGAAAATGGGCACGACGTGGCCTGATGCCACGGTGATGGGCAGCAGGGGAAGGGGAGCTGGAGGGAGGGGACAGCCCTGCCCTGCTCCTCTCCCAGAGCGAGAGGAACACGGGCACATCGAGCGAGCAAAATAGGGAGGGTGCTGCTGGGAGACCTCCAAGGGGACAGTGGGGTTTTGTGCTGGGGAAAAGGAGGTGACAGCCACCCGGCAGAGGCCAGGCAGGGGGTCTCCAGCAAGCCCCCCGGTACTAGGTTTGGAGCTGGCCGTATTCTCAGGCGTGCGTGCTCACGGCATGGCTGTCTGGAGGCTGCTGCCTTCTCCCTGCCCACGCCGCGGAGCCGGGTGCTCCCATCCCTGCGGCACCCGCTGGGGATGGGGAACACCATGGTCCTCCACCACCGCTGCCACCGAGCCATGTCCAGCCCAGGCCGTGTCCCTTCACCTTCTGCCCCGTGGAGGATGGCTGCGGGCTCGGTGCCGTCCAGGGGAGCAGTACGGCGGGTAGAAATCTCGTGCGTGGCTGCAGACGGCCGAGTGAGAGGCACGGCGTCGCCCGCGGTGTGCCAGCACGGGAGGAAGGATGCTGCCTGGCGAGGTGGGGGGGAAGGCAGTGTGGGGCTGGAGAGGCGCAGAGACGCCGGCGCCTTCTCCTTGTGTCCGGGGCCGTCGCGGTGCTTTGCTCCTGCGCTGGGCTCTGACGGGGTCTCTCTGTCTCTCCACATCTCTCCTTCCCTGCTCCGAATTCCCGGGTGCGTTTAAAGAAGTGCTCGAGCTGCCAGCAAGCGGGAGCCACCGTGGGCTGCTGCCAGAAGGGGTGTCCCCACACCTACCACTACGCGTGTGCCGTCGACACAGGTGAGCCCGGCCGTGGGGACAGGGCTGTGGGGTCCCCTGGCACTCTCCAACACGGCTGGGCTGCTCTTACAGCACTTAAGCCCACCCAAGGTTAGGGTGGGCTCACGGCTCCCTGCCTGCCGGAACGGCGATGCCCGCAGCACTGGCAGTGCCGGCTGGTGTCCTGAGTTTGGCCGGCCTCAGCTGAACCCTTCATGCAAACGCTGCGGTTGGTCCGGAGGGTGGCAGGAGGCCGTGGGCCAGGGGGGATGCTGTGTCCCTGCCACTCGGGGACAGCCGTCCTGCAGTGTGGGGACTCCCCTGACGCAGCCTTCTCCTCTCCTCGCAGGTTGCTTATTAACCGAAGAGAGCTTCTCTCTGAAATGTCCCAAACATAAGGTAAGCCCAGACCTCCCCTGTGCACCCCCTCCAATGCTCCGCAGCCCCCCTGGGGTAGGAGGACCTGCCTTCAGACCATGTTCCCCCCCCCCCGGGGACACCCCGCTCCACTGCACACCCACGCAGGGCGCTCAGCCCCGTGTGGCAAGGGGCATCACACGGGGCACGGCATCGCGTCCCTGGGGGGATACCAGGTCACCCAGGACCCCTCCGCTGAGGGGTTAGGCCAGTGGGTGCTGGGTCTGGGACCCCCCCCCCCAAGCGGGTTCTTGGGGGTTTTCCCTGAGCGCTAACGAGGGTGGTGGGCGACAACTGAACCGGAGCTAAAAGCACCCGCATCTGGGGTGGGTGCACGATTATTCACGGGTGGGCAGGGTGGCTGCTGATGGGGACATCCCCACCGGCTCGGGGGCTAACACCCCCCCCCTTTCCAATTCCCCCCGCAGAGGCAGCCGGTGTAACGCCCGGTGGGCACCCACCGCCAACGAGAGGGACCGGCGGAGGAGGCAGCGCCCCGGGAGCGGAGCGGGGCCGGA